AAAAAAAAAAAATTATTTATTTATTTCACAGAGAGCACAAGCAGGGGGGAGGGGCAGAGGGAGAGGGAGAAGCAGGACTCGATCCCAGGACCCTGAGGTCAGGACCTGAGCCAAAGGCAGATGCTTAACAACTAAGCCACCCAGGCGCCCATGCTTAATTCTTTTTCATTTTCAATTTTGTGGTAGGAGCACTTACCTCGAGATCTGTTCTCTTAAATTCTAAGCGTGGAACACAGCAGCATTGATTCTGAGTATGATGTACTGAGATCTCCTTCTTCGTCTTACTTGACTGATATTTCATGCCTCTTGATTAATAACTGCCCATTGCTCCCTCCCCCAGCCCCGGCAGCCAGCATTCCAGTGTCTGATTTTGTGAACTCGGCTCTTGGAGATTCCTCATAGAAGTGGGATTGCGTTGTCAGCGTATGTCTCTGGTGTCTGGTGTATTTCAGCTTGTGTGTCCACAGGCCCGTCCGTGTTGTACGTTGCCGGAATTCCTCTTTTCCTTATACATAGCATTACAGACTTAGAAAATTCTTGGACCGGACAGAAATCATTGAAGTCTCGTTGGTACATCATTTTTATTGAGGAACATAGAGGTTCTGAAAGACCGATATTTTAACATCTTTTGTTTCTTGATGCTTTCAGGCATAGACGTGCCAGAGATCAATGAGGAACAGAGCAAAGTGTATAACAATGCTCTCATCAACTGGTACCATCCCGAGAAGGATAAAGCGGATAGCTATGTTCTTGAATATCGGAAGATTAACAGAGATGAAGAAATGCTGTCTTGGAACGAGATTGAAGTGTGTGGCACGAGCAAAGTCATCTCAGACCTGGAAAGCAATTGTAACTATGCTTTCCGAGTCAGAGCCTACAAGGGTTCGATCTGCAGCCCTTGCAGCAGGGAGCTGATCCTCCATACCCCTCCAGCTCCAGGTATTGTGAATACTGGGACTCAGAAGGTCTTAGAGTCAGAAGAGACCTTGATAAAAAATAACCTAGCCAGCATCTCTGTCTAGATCCACGCTGAAACCAGCTCTCATTTGTTTAAAAAAAAAAAAAAAAATTCTAGAAAATAGGTTCCATCCCCAGCTAGGATTTAGAAATAGACTGAATACGTGAATTTCATCAGGTAGTCTGGGAACGGGATTAGAGTTTAGCCTGACATCAGATACAGAAAAACATGACATTTGAGTGAGCAGGGCTATTAATTTGAGATTAAAATGGCATAGATGCTACCTTACAAGTTTTAAACAGTGGAGTTCTGTGGTTTTGATAAGTTTATAGGAATCTCTGTAACAGGGGTGCCTGGGTGGCTCAGTCAGTTAAAAAGTGTCTGCCTGGGGCGCCTGGGTGGCTCAGTCATTGGGCGTCTGCCTTCAGCTCAGATCGTGATCCCCGGGTCCTGGGATCGAGCCCCGCGTTGGGCTCCCTGCTCGGCGGCAACCACCTTCTCCCCCTCCCCCTCCTCTCCTCCTGCTCTCTCTTTCGCTCTATCTCTATCTCAAATAAATAAATAAAATCTAAAAAAAAAAAAAAAGCTCTACAACATAGTTCTAGGTAGATTTTTTAAAAAAAATTATTGTTACAATATGAAATATCATTGTGATTAACCTCCTTCTGACTTGTCCAGATTTTCTAACTCAGTGATTCCTGGTAGGTGGGGTTGGAGGGTGTATAGTAGAACCACATGGTAGCTGCCCCCTCCCCCAAAAGCTCCCCTTCCCAGCCCCCTCCCCCACCTTCCGAGGCAGAAACCACTGCTGCCCCTTACAGTAGAGCACCTGTAGATTTTTATAGAATGAGAATCACCAGGTTAGATGCTCCCTGCAGCGTCTCCGTGGACAGCACGGTTTCAGAACCAAACTTGTGCTCCTTGTGCTTAGCAGGAAAACCTTCTGGCCTGTTGGTCACTGCCTTCAAGGTTCCTCCAGTTGGTTTCCAGACCCCACTGCCACCACCAGATTTCAGTGGCTCATGTGCCTGGATTTCGTACACTATTGTCTTTCCTTCCTCTTTTGTCTGAAGTGTACTCACCACTACTTTCAGGCCCATTGTGGCCAATTTAAAAAAAATTAGAATACAAATACAAATCAGGGTTGGCTAGCATTGTTCTTCTTGAATTTGAATAAAATCCAACGGAGAGTGTGGGGATGGATTTGTAAGTATTAAGTGATATTTTACCATTTATGTAGTTTCCCCTTTCTTTTCTTGTCTCTCTGACTGAAAGTGGAATTAAAAAGAAACCTGGAAGTAGCTGCAGTTTTCGGTGATGTGGTGGACGGGGAAGGAAGCAAGGACATGTTCCAAGTTGTCTTTTTTTTTTTTAAGATTTTATTTTTAAGTAATCTCAACACTGGATGTGGGGCTTTAACTCACAGCCTCGAGATCAAGAGTCGCACGCTCCGCTGACTGAGCCTGCCAGGCACCCCCAAAATTGACTTGCTTTTTTCTGAGAGAAGCTGTGTGAATGGGGTGACCAATCAAATATATTTTGCAAACTGGGAGACTTTTGAGATCCACTGGAAGCAGGAATGATCACAACAGGATAGTAGACATTACCAGGAAGAGTGATCAGCCTATAAATGGAGAATGGCTTTAGCTTGCTACTAGACATTTTTTTTTTTTATTGTGGTATATGATATAGTAAAAAATGATCATTTTAAACATTTTTAAGGGTACAGGTCAGTGACATTAAGTACATCCACACTGTTGTGCGGCCACCACCACTCACATCTCTGGAACATCTTCGTTTTTTCCACATGAAATTCTGTGCCCATTAAACACGAACTCCCATTCCTCCTTCCCACAGAGCCTGGGAACCTCTTTTCTACTTTCTGCCTTTGTGAATTGCCTGTACCTCATAGAAGGGGATTGATCTAGTCCTTCTGTGCCTGGCGTATTTGGGGCTTCATCCTTGTTGTAGCATGTACCAGAATTGCCTTGCTTTTTTTAGGCTGAATACTATTCCATTGTATGGATAGACCACATTTTCTGTATCCATTCATGTGTTGATGGACATTTGAATTGTTTCCACTTGGGGGCTAACAGCCAATGCTCATGTATTTGAGTTGATAGAGACTTAGGAGAGTGGCATTATGTCCATCCTGTAGTTGAGGAAATTAAAGGTTCAGTTAAACTCCATTTAAATCCTTGAGCAGGGATTAAAACTCTCATCTCTCTAAAGCCAAAACCTTTGCCTTTTTTTTTTTAAACATCATGCACTATGTCTCATGTCTGCCATACTGATTGATAAGGAAGAGCCCCTATTAAAATTGCTAATATTTTACACATTTATAAAATGTGGAATACATGTTTAGGAAAATGTACAGGTAATTATGAAAATGTACAGTCCCTTACTTTAAGGAGAAAAGGGACAGATCCAGTAGTGTAAAAACATTTAGAAGAGATCTGCTCTATCTGTTGCAAGGAACCCCATTCATAGGTTTTCTCATACACTTAAAATGCTTCCTTCTGCCTTTTGACTTTTCTGAAGATGTTCTGGTGTAGAGAATTTCCTGGAAGTGATTTCCCCATCGGGGAGTTGGTTTGTCCCAGTTTATCGAGGGTAGTGTGAACCATTCCTCTTCACGGCTCATTTCGGTCATTTCTGGTTCAAAACCCGATTGGATTTAACCACCAATTACAGAAATGCTAACACGTAGTCATCAGACTAATTTCAAGCTCTCTTTGCAGTTTTCAGTTTCCTCTTTGATGAAAAATGTGGCTATAATAATGAACACCTCTTGCTGAACTTGAAGAGAGACCGCGTAGAGAGCAGAGCTGGGTTTAATCTCCTGCTTGCCGCGGAGCGCATCCAAGTAGGTTATTACACACGCCTGGACTACATCATTGGAGATGTTGGAATTACCAAGGGGAAGCACTTCTGGGCCTTCCGTGTGGAGCCGTATTCATACCTGGTCAAAGCAGGAGTAGCTTCCAGTGATAAACTACAGGAATGGCTCCGTTCTCCCCGTGATGCCGTTAGCCCAAGGTAGGTTCTTCTACTGATCTAGAACTCGAGAGTCCTTTTACAAGTAAACGTCCTTGTTGAGCAAGGCAAGCCCGGAAATCCCCTTGGGTCTACTTAACACACATGGAGTGCGTTCCTTAGACTCTGGGGCTTTGGCTAAGGAAAGGGGTCCAGTTGTCTTTTAGTTCCACGGTGAGTAATGAGACTTCGCAGTTCATTTCTGGTGCCATGAGGAAATAAGCCTGTTTTGGATACTTCTCGACTGTGCTTTGCAGTTGAAAATTTTGAAAGGTTTTCATATCCATCACCTTACTTCTGTGATGATAAGTATTACTCACATGTATGGTGAAATGCTTCTAATTGCCATACTTCCAAATTGATACAACGTTGTTCTTTTGTTACGAGACACAATTTTTTTAAACTCCCTTGTAAGGACTTATGAAATTGGGTCATGGGACACAGGTTTCCACATCCAAGAATTCTTTCTTTCTTTCTTTCTTTATTTATTTATTTGGCAGAGAGATACACAGCGAGAGAGGGAACGCAAGCAGGGGGAGTGGGAGAGGGAGAAGTGGAGCCTGATGTGGAGCTCAATCCCAGGACCCTGGGATCGTGACCTGAGCCGAAGGCAGATGCCTAATCCACTGAGCCACCTAGGTGTCCCTCAATAATCGATCTCCTAAGAAACTGGAATTCTTGGGGTACCTGGGTGGCTCAGTCAGTTAAAAAGCGTCTGCCTGGGGCGCCTGGGTGGCTCAGTCTTTGGGCATCTGCCTTCAGCTCAGGTCATGATCCCAGGGTCCTGGGATCGAGCCCCGAATAGGGCTCCCTGCTCCACAGGAAGCCTGCTTCTCCCTCTCCCACTCCCCCTGCTTGTGTTCCCTCTCTCGCTGTGTCTCTCTCTGACAAATAAACAAAATCTTTAAAAGAGATCGATTATTGAACCGAGATTGTATGGTTTCATTGTATTAGATGGCATAAGGTCTACTAGTCCACACAGATCATTTTTGACCCCATCATTGTGTGAACAGAATCCCAAATGAATAATCTGAGTTAATAGGAAAAGCTTTTTGCACAAGGGTGAGAAATTGACAAAACGATAAAAATTGTAATTGGGACATGGTCAATTAAACACAGTTCAATAGACTTAGAATATTGATAGATTATTGGTATTAATGTGTAAAAAGCTTGTAACATAAAAAATATTAGAAGTGAGAAAACCCGGGATGCCTGGGTGGCTCAGTTGGTTAAGCGACTGCCTTCGGCTCAGGTCATGATCCTGGAGTCCCGGGATCGAGTCCCGCATTGGGCTCCCTGCTCAGTAGGGAGTCTGCTTCTCCCTCTGACCCTCCCCCCTCTCATGTGTGCACTCCCTCTCTCATTCTCTCTCTCTCAAATAAATAAATAAATAAAATCTTTAAAAAAAAAAAAAGTGAGAAAACCCGATTAAAAGCGTCCATGTAATGTAATCACAAATATATAAAAAGTGAATTATGCATAGGAAGAAAATGGAAGGACCTTTGTATCAAAAATGTATATAAACTGCTACTGTTTTATACTTATGGGAAAAAAAACCTTCGTGCTTGCTTACCTCATAGATCCATGTAGAAATCCCAATCCAGAAAGAGGGTTCTTAGGACCATGAAACATGACTTTTTCTCCTGCATTGTTTTGCAGTGCCCATGTATTTTACTTTAGTTTGGTAATTCCTTGCATTAGGGCACATGTCTTGGTTTTATATATTTTTTTACATATGATTATGTGCTGTGAATATTTAATCTACGACAGTTCCCTTCAGTTTTCTTCCCCCACTTTATTATTATTTAAGTAATCTCTACACGCAATGTGGGGCTCGAACTCATGAGCCCGAAACCGAGTCTGAGCCAGCTAGGCACCCCTCCCCCACTTCAGTTTTGATAGGCCAAAGTCCTGAGTTATTTTACAGGTTTTTATTATTTTTCTCATCTGCATGTATATATAGATGTTTTATGATATTTCGTGACACAGAATTTGGGGCTGAGGCTCTGGTACCATTCTAAATGGCAGTGTGTAGTCGTCATGTTTTTAATTGATCTGTGTTTTAATAGAAAGTTTTTGATGTATGGTTTAATTTTAAAGCAATGTATAGCATCTTGTGACAACGTTTTGAGGCCAGCCGAAGGCCTGTGGCTGGCGACCCAGCTCAGACTGTCATGTGTTGTGTTCTAGATACGAGCAAGACAGCGGCCATGACAGTGGAAGCGAAGATGCGTGCTTTGATTCCTCACAGCCGTTCACATTGGTCACCATAGGCATGAAGAAGTTCTTCATCCCCAAGTCCGCCACTTCTGCCAACGAACCTGAGAACAGAGTTCTCCCCATGCCCACAAGCATAGGGGTTTTCCTTGACTGTGATAAAGGCAGAGTGGCTTTCTTTGACATGGATCACATGAAATGTCTGTATGAGCGCCAGGTGGACTGCTCGCACACCATGTACCCAGCATTTGCATTAATGGGCAGTGGAGGAATTCAGCTTGAGGAACCCATCTCGGCAAAATACCTGGAATACCAAGAGCACATGTAGTTTAAGCATCAGTGACTTAAGGTGGAAAAGGGAAACGGAATAATGCCTTGGTGTTAACCTTCGTAACTAATTACATATCATCTAAGTAGTCCGTGGCCACACTTGTTTTTGTGTGTGTTTCTTCTTAAATCGGAAAACCCAAACAGTCCTGCCTCGTCCGTGTGGTCGTCCTGACTTGCACAAGCCAGGGGAGAGTAGAGACCCTCCCTCCTGGTTAACTCTGAAATGGTTAACTCTGTAACTGGATTGTGTTTCTTTTTTTACGAACAGGAAATCTAATTTATTTATGTCAGCCCTGTTGCTGATACTTATATTTCTTTTGGTGGGAGGGGGGGATACAAAAGTATTTATTATGTTTCTTTTGTGTTTGGTTTTTCATTTTGTATCATGTTTGTTTTAAGAGATTTTTTAGATGCCTTATGGGTGGGAATTCATACTTAGCCTTGTGTCTCGCATGTTTTTCATAGGAAAACAAAAGTATGGATAGGTGAAAAGGCCATAGAAATGGTAGTATATTTAAATGGAAAATTATGTATTTTGAGGTGTATAATGGATATTCAGAGTATATTCCCTGGAAAATGAATACTGCTTTTTGTTTTCTTTTAAGACTACAAATTGTATTTTTAAGGATATTTTGAAGAGTTCCTTTAGCTGTAATGTCCACATCTGCATGTGTAGTTAAACATCATTTTTTGTTTTTGTTTTTTTGCAGGGAACACAGAGTTCTTGGCTAACACACGAAATTTTTCATGTAAAATTTGTCTTCAGTTTTTCTTACTCTATGAAAGTATCTGAGCTTATAGCAAATAATTTATTTTTCACAAATATTAGTGACGATTCACTGATATTTGGCATATTTGTTCTTTTGCTCTCTTATTGTGTCCTATGATTCTATGATTTTCATTTTTTGGCACTGATACTATATATCAGATTGTCCTGGCTTATGTTTACATGTTTGGAAAGTTCATGATTTATTTTTAATGTCATTAAATTATTCTAAAATATGGAGTAACTGGTCAGTTGGATGTTATTTTCTATGGCCCATTGTTTGGTAATAAGCATTTGTAAAGGTAAGTAAAAGACAAATTTAGTTGTTAGGAATAATAACGAAAATCATAGTGACTGTGTGTACCCTTTTAAAAGTTCTTTTGATTTGCAGAATTAATATTTTAGTTGAAATTTTACATTCATTTTTGAAAGATGCCTTTTACTTAGATGTTTTTTATTTAAACTGCTTATTTTTTAGAAGTTAAAATGTTCAGAAGCTAGACTGCTGTATATTGTAGCACTCATGATTTTGAAAGGCTTTTGACCTATTTTGATAGAACAACCAAAATCCTAGGTCTTGTCTGGTTTCCTTGTTTGTTTGTTTTTAATATATATTTCTAAGTGGAAGTCTGTTCTTCAGGCTGGTGGCATCAAATTAGCTTTTTTATCCCCAACCCAAGTAGGAGATACTGTGGCGAAATTCAGTGTTGAGTAGACTTTGTTACTTTCCCACCGATGAATAGCACTTTACGACATAGGCTGAACTAAACACATCCGCAGTGTTATGTGGACCATTGTGCGTGAAGGCTGCTCACGTCACGTGTGTGGTAAGGTTTGAGTCTCAAGCCTGTGTAAGCACATAATCCTGTAGACGTTTTAAACATAAAGCTTTAACAGGAATAGGGAAGGTGCATAAAACCTTGTATAGTTGTATAGAAATCGTTCTGGATTTCTTTCGTTTTTAATAAAAATTGAAATAAGTGTAATTATTGAACTGCATCCTGGGAATTCTCAGTGTATTTATGTGGAAAATGGAGACAAATTGTTGATAAGAGATGTTCAGCTGAATATATTGACTCAGACCTAAGGTTTTACATGAAGTTGTTTTGGGCATGTACTTAACTAGCTCTAATTCTTGTCGAAGTGATCATTAGAAAAGCTTAACGTGAAACTAGTTTACCTCAGCTAATTGATCAGATTGTCTCCTATTCCTTTTCTGCTCCATAATCAGATTTTGATCAGAAGACTGTTCTTTAGTTCACATTCATATTCTTGGGCCATCAGGCTCTAGGAGTTGTGTGTCACAATGAATTGTTACTCATGCTTGATGGGTCTTCATTTAAAAAAAAAAAAAACCAATTCCAGGCTATCCCCGTGATACTGTATAATAACTTAATTCTCATATTCGCAGTTGCTTTCGGGAAAGTGGTAGGACTCAGAGCTATCTCTGAGGCATTGAATACACTCTGGGTCGTCATCTGATTAGACCCTGGGAGTGTGTCCCACGTGGGAATATCATCAGTCCTGGCCTTGCTACAGAAAGTGGAGAACCAAGCATTAAAGGCAAGAATCTGCGTAAGAAATTACGTTCGACCAGAAGGTGTGCATTCATTTTAGAGGATGTTTACCGTCTTGTTAATGGCGATTAACATCCTGAGAATTGATTCTTAGGACTCTCTTGCTTCGACAAATAAACTTGAAGGAATTTAGTTACGTTTTTGATTGGGAACCCAGTTCATTTATTTACAAAAAGTTTTTAACTCCGCTGTTTCTGAGACATTGAGCTGTTGTACTGGGTGTAAGGTGACCAAGACCGCCCAGCCAGGTTCCTGCTCTTAGGAGCTTCCTTTTGAGGAAATGGAAAGTGCTGGAGAGTGTTTGAGGAGGGGGCTCTGTTAGACTTGGCGATGGTCAGGGACGCCCCTCTGAGGAGGCACTAGAAGTTTGACAGCTCACCACAAAGGAGTTGGCCGTACAAAGAGCCAAGGGAAGTGCATGCTGGGTGGAGAGAACAAGGAGCTCAAGAAGGCTTTGAGATCACGAACTGGTGAGCATGCTGGCAGGAAGTAGCCTTCACCCTAGAGGGTTCCCTTGAAACACTGATGAAAGGGTTACTGAGACGTGAGCCACCCTGAAGAAACGAGCAATGGTGAGGCCCTGGGAGGACGAGCCACCACCCGAAGCAATTACTGCCTCTGGAGCAGGGACAGCAAGGGGAAATCGTGTTCCAAGATGTTGGGGGGAGAGAGACATTAAGAAAGGGTTGCTTAGTGGGAGTTGGGTTCACCGTGAGAGGCAGCTAACCCCTGAGATGGGGCACCAGGACACGGAGTCAGAAATGCCCTTCACTGGATCTGTTGGTGCTGCCTATTGACTAAACCCTATGGGCGGCCACCCAGCAAGGAAGGGCTCTCTCCAGATGCAGACAGCGGGGATCAGCTTCCTGGGGTGGAGATGGGGAAGCAGGCATCTGGGGGGGGGGCGGGGGGGTGGCTTAAATGGAGAACAGTTGGTGCAATTGGGAAGGAGCTTGGTGTACTTGAGGGGGAAAAGGCTATTGGCCATTGTGCCGACTGCTTAAATAAGGGTATTTATGATGTCCTGAAATAATAAAACACAAAAATGAAGACTTAGAAAACCATTACCTGGGAGATCTCCTGTGTCCTTAACTGTCCCTGAGTCATTTCTCCAGTTTTCTTCAGAAGCTCCACCTCCTGTCTTCTCTGGAAGGGATGAGTAGTGGTGGTGGGCCAGGCGGGCAGGAGAGCTGGGAGGGGCCTGGGAAGTGGGAGCCAGGGTTTGGGGAGGGGGGTTAGCTGTCCCCTACACTAACCTTCCAACAGTCCCTTGGCTCAACCTTGGGACCATCCAGAGTCCACTTCATCCCACCTCTCCGGTATCAACAACATTCTCACCTGATCACTGTAATAGCTTCCTGTCTGGTCTCCTTCCTTCAGCCGTGTATTAGTTGCATAACTAAATTCTCCTAAGAAACCCTGAGACCTCTGGACTTAACCGTATGGATTTTTGGCTCTCACAAAATCTCTTGTAGCCCAGCCCTGGCTTTCCTCCGCGGTCGATGCCAGGGTCAGGCTCCCTACGCTTTGCGATGCCATCTTAGCATGGGGTTTCTAATGTTGCAAGTTTACATAGTTTCTAGAAAAAGAGGCTGGAAAGTCCCCAACAGCTACTAATGCCCCAGCACATCACTTGCATTCATGTTTCATTAGCTCGAACTAATCCCGTGGTGCTAAAACCGGCAGGAATGGCCGTGAGAAACTCCTCTGGTTTTCTCCAAGTGCCCAGGCGGGAGACCACCAGATCCGGGGGAGCACTAGTAATGTCTGTCTCAAGCCCTTGCACCATCACTTTTTCTCAGTTACAAAAAAAAGCGTGAGACTTTTGCAAATTCCTGCTGCTCCAGGTCGCCACACAATCCTTCACCTTGATCTTTTCTCAGCGAGAACCCTAACTCTTTAAATTTTTTTTTTAAAGATTTTATTTATTTGATAGAGCACAAGCAGAGGGAGAAGCAGGCTACCTACTGAGCAGGGAGCCCAACGTGGGACTCGATCCCAGGACCCTGAGATCATGACCTGAGCTGAAGGCAGACGCCTAACTGACTGAGCCACCCAGGCGTCCTTAACTCCTTTAAATTGTGTCCTTCCCCCCAATAGACCATACTCCCCATTCCCTGCTTTAGTTGTTTTCTTGAAGCACTTAGACATTTCACTTTTGTCTGCATCCTCTAAAATATTAGCTCCACCAAGACAAGAGTTGTATCCAGTTTTTT